TTAGTTATACGCGAGAATACGGCCAAAACTTCGTCTCCGCCGTTGCGGCGACGGCCGAGCTTGCCGGCAGCTCTAAAAAAAAAATCTCTGATTCGATAGAGCGGCGGGATTCTTGTGTCGACGAGCGACCTTCCTTCGCGCGACACGAGAGGAACAGGCGACAGAGTCGGAGGAATCATGAAAGAACACATATACGGTTTAACATTGCGCTGTATTTAACAAAAAAAAAAAAACAACAAAGAAAGGTACTACAGAAGACGCGGTGCGGGCTCCGAGTCGCGTAGTCGCGAAGTCATTCGGCAGCTTGATCCGTAGTCGAGGATCCTTCTGCCTCGAGGAGTTCGAACGGCACGAGGCTCGCGAAATTCTCTCGCTACACGCTAATTATTGCATTGGGCGCCAGCCGGGTGCATCCCGGCCCTAATTGTCACGTACCGCGAACCACGTACTTCTCGCCCCTCGGAAACCCGCACTTCCTACGACTGATCACGAGTCGTCATACTCTTTACGCAATCGCTCGCTGTACTGTGCGGTCGCGAACGCGGTAAAGCGGCAGCAGGCAGCGTGGTAAGGACGGCTATTCTCTCGCGGGCCCCGAATCTGAGCCCGCGATCGCGAGGTTGGACAGTTCGTCAAGGATGGAGACGAACCCTTCCGGCTGCCGTCGTGAAGCGACGGCAACCATCCCGGTCTTTTGGCACTCGGGCTGAACGACAGGTGGAAGACAGCTCACCAAAAATCCCTTACTGGGCTCGCCCCTCGTTCTCCGCTGTCTCGCTTGTTCGGCAGCTCGTTCGCTCGCTCTCTACGTCGTTCGCTCGCTCGCAAGATCGTCTCAGCGTTCGCGTCGCTCACTATCCGCACAGTGACGAATTTTTCCGCGAGCGCGAGGCTCCTTAGCTCGCGGTCTCAGCCGCCGATCGCCGCTAAGTCCTATTGGTCCTGCGGGAACGCACGGCTTTAGCGCGGGCGCCTTACAGGGCCCGCGCGACACCGCGAATTCTCTGACTCAGAGTCGACGGAATCCTGTGCCTGACGGCATCTCTAACTGGCGTGGGCGCTCAAGTGGCTGCCGGAAGTTTTTGATATCCCAGGGCGTCCCCCGGGACCTGGTCCTCAAGGTCCAGCCCTTCCTGGCGCCCTTCCTGGCGCGGCAAGTTAGTCGGGGCCCCCGTCGCTTATGATAGCGAGGGGTGGATCCTGCCCCGCTTGGCTGGTCGTCCGCTTCAGGTCCGCCGTCGCCTCGCTCCGATCGATA